GCAGCGGCGAGGAGCGCCGCTCTCGTCGTAGCAAGGGTCTGGAGGGGTCTGCTGGGCCACGAAGGGATTCACCGTCTGGGAGAGGCCCAGCATGGCGGTGGTGAGGAGCAGGCGCAGGAGCTGCAGGACCTCCATCCTCCCGGGGCGAGGGAAGCGGCTCCTCCCTGGGGCGAGAGCAAAGGGAGTGAATGGCGCCGGGAGCGGCACGGCCGTGGCACTGCCCATGGGGGGAGGCTGATAAGGGATGGGGAACATCCCCATGTCTGGCCCTCGACCTGTGCCTGCCTTCCCACCCCACATCTACTGATGCAGCATCCTGGGAGCAGGGCAGGGAGGCAACTACTTTGTGGTGCCTTATCCACAGCAATCCCTTGCCGCTCGTCAGCAGGAGCGAAATACTGTGGGAAATGGCAGAAGGAGCTGAGCTTTGGAAGGAGGAGGTTGAAATCAGGGTCCAGCCCTTCCCTGGCCTCTTACAAACTGTCTCGGGGGCAACAGGAACGCTCACACCTGCCCGTGGCCCTGGCTGTCATGCACAGCTCAGAGACCCCCGTCACCACACAGCTGCCAAGGAGGGGTGGCAGGAAGAGCTGGGGAGACCTTTCAGTGCAACAGTAGCTGTAAACCCCAAGTTATCCAACTGCAGCCCGAAACAGTCCCTGCTAGTGCGGGAGAAAGGAGCAGCAGCAAACACACCTTGCAGGGTGTTTTGCAACAGGCAGGAGCTCACCGGGATGAAGCCCCAGGGCTCTTGGGTCCAGCACCACTTTCCCTGCTGTGCCACAGCCCTGGCAGCATCTTGCTGGCCATGGGCACAGTGGCTTCTCTGAGCTGGGGGCTGGATCCCCTCCAAATCCCACCGCTGCACTACCCAAGTATTCCCACTGGCAAAACGAGGTTATTCTGGCCTCAGCCCCAAGAAACCCAGGTCTGGGTCTGGCCTGTCTGTTAATGGAGGGAAAGGCAAGGACCAAATGCAGGGCTTGGCTGGGCTCCTCTCCCAGCAGCTGCAGCACAGGGCCAGGGGATGCTGGGTGGCTCCCAGGGGACATGGTCCATCTCCCACATCGCTGGCTTTAAGGGTAGAAGAAGGACCGGAGGTCACGTACCCTCCCACCGGCTCTGGCTGCAGCAGGAGCATCCTGGGAGATGCAGATCAGCCGTGCCCCATCCTGAGCATCACGCGAGCAGCCATGGCTCGCACCTTCACCGGAGAACACCCCCGAGCGCCGCAGTTGGCAGCAGAACCCCGAGCTGCTGGCTGGGCGGGTGGCCCCAAC